GTTTTTACAATTGTTTGGAAATTATTGTGAAAAGGGGGAGGAAAAAAAAAGCAAGGAAAGGTAAAGTATTTACAATATTTGTACATATTTTTTAAAATTCAATTGGTCAAATACTTAAGTCTCAACTCATTGAGTAAACATGTGTATTTGATCTTTTAAAAAAATCAGTTAAGTTTTCTTGCTTTGAAACATTTTATAATTAAATTACTTTTAGACCCCACAAAGTAGTATTACCTCAATATATTTTTTATGAATAGAATATTCTAAATTAAATAAACCTAGTGATCGGAGGAAACTTTAATTTTTAAAATATTTTTCATCACGAATTTAGTCATTCAAGTTATTAAGATCATGATTTTAAATAGTAAACTAAAACTAATATAAATGCAAGTGTAAAATGAACAAAGAAGATCTTTATTCCATTGCTTATCTCAATTTGAATAATAACTTTTTTTAAATTTGTATATGAAACTCTTATAAAATTGTTAAGAAGTGTTTGGAAATTAAAAATGAATATGTATTTAAATGTAAAAGCAATTTGTCAAGTAAATAGGGCAGGCCCATTTCACAAATAATCACAAAGAAAATATAAAATAGATCTACATTGAAGTTTATAAACAAATGTTAATTTGAGAATCTCCCAAAAATCTTAGAATGAATCAAAATAATATATATATATATATATATATATATATATATATATATCATATATATATCAATCAATCATAACTAATTCAATAAAGATAGATTGCTAGGACCATGCTCAATACAGAAACTGTTTATGGATTGAAATATTTTAGTAAATTGTTTATTGGAACATAAGATAAAAATAGCTGAACACTCTTTTAAAAAATGATTTTTAAAAAAATTTGTAATGCATTTATGAACATTTATGTATTTTAAGTTAGAAAAATGTTATCACTACATTAAATTACAGGGAAAAAAGATAAATAGATTAATAAAAAATTGAACAAAAAATGGAATGGTTGGTTTGTTTAATGATTTAAGAATAATATAATTTAGTGCTTCTTATTTATTTATTTTTTAGACATAACATTTCTTTTAAAAAATTCAATTTCCACTCTAGTATGTTAGAATTATATCCTTTTTATTTTCTATGATTCTGTAAATTCAACTTTTACAGCTTTTTGATTTGACATTTTCTTATTCATTTGATTATTTTAAAATTCAAGCAGGCAGGAATGTATTATGCATAAAAAATGAAAATTAAAAAAATTAAGTAGAAATAAATTTCCATGATATGTTGAAACAATTAAAATACACTGATTATGGATCACAATGCAAATTGATCACAACTCTGTCATGGCTAGAACAAAAAGCCTAAAGACATTTTCCAAAATCACAAATAGGAAATATTTTACAGCCATTAAATAAATAGTAAAACAGGTCCAATCTGAAATAATTTAATATAAACATATAAATAAAAAAAAAAAATTACAAGTTTCCTTTAATGTGTCAATGTCAACTTTTATCCCCTTTTCTAAAAACTATGAATAGCATTTTTTGCTTTCATAATTTGAATTTCAACAATATAAAAGTGCATTAAAAATAATTTTATACCGACAAGTTAACCTTTTTTTGTTTTTGCCCCAACTAGTTATTTAATATTTGATTAAAAAAACAACCCAATTAACTACTTATTAGCTCTGGAGTTTACAGTGATTATTGAACTCTCATTATTTATAAATATTGCAAAAATGAAATAAGCGATAAAAAAAAAAGTATTTACAATAGTGATGAGAAAATGATATGTTGCTTGAGACTGGGAACGAGACTGTGAACAAACATATATGACCAACTTTTCACTCAGAATTTTAGTTTTGTAATATACCAAAATAATGCACTATTTGATTAGACAAGAAAATCCAAAAATGATACTTTGCTTGAAACTTTTGAGCATTCAATCTCAGCACCGTCCAAATAAAACTATCAAGATGAACAATTTTTTGTTAGGAATTAATGAGTGTGATGTTTTAAAAAAAGCTAAATCATCCTTGTCTAAAGGGTTAATCTCTGTAGACTAGTGGAAAAAATAAGGTATATCACCGTTGACTAAAGGGCTAATCTCTGTAGACTAGATGTTGAGTTTGATGTGATCTCAACATTACTTTTCTGTTAGTTAAGGGTATCGAGTCATTGCACGTTACTTAAAATATTTTAATGTTATGTAAAACATATAAAATAATTTAACGAAATAATAATACATTCCTAAAATGTTTCTTCACTGGCTCATCAAGGTTAGTGATATAATTAAACCATAGAAAGGATTTTCTTTTTTACCTAAACCTTATTTGAACATTAAAGCAATGATCATTAAATGCGTCTTGAATTAGTGATAAATAAAATCTGCCCCACCAGAAAATTAGTATGAAACCTATTTGTTCGTAATCAATGATTCCAAAGAATTGTGTTTGATGAAAGTTTGAATAAACGGACATACTTTAAAGGAAAAAAAGAAATCCATTTTATAAAAAGTTTAGATTTTCCTCATTTCTCACTCTGAAATTTAAAAAATAACACTTCTGAAAAAAATTTCATTTCAAACTAACTTCTGTTTAAAAAAAAAACTACTATTAGAACTAACTGCTGTTCATAAAACATTCCTTTGAACAAATTAGTTTTCATATAATCTTCTGGTAACCTTAAATGCATGCACCCTTTTCTTCTAAAACAGGATAAATGCTCAGTTACTAAGATCACTAACCAAGTGACACTTTACCAACTATGAGTCAAAAAGTAAATTACGGTATCAATTAATAATACACAAACAAGAACAGAGGAATATAATATAAAGCTCATATAGAAAGTTAAATAATTTTTCCTGATTAGAAGTAATTTTTAAAACAAAACACTACTGATTAAATATTATGCACAAGACATTGAACTGTTACTTTGAAAATAAAGTTATTCACCACCACACACACAACAATTAAAGAATTAATAAATTAATCAACTATTGTGTCATTATCCTTTCAAGTTGGTTGGGCAATATAAAAAAGTCATATGAATTTGACACATAAAAATAAATATTGCTCTGAAATGGTCTCTATGACCAAGCAAAGGTGGTGAAATATCTCAAGAAACACCAAGTTTAATGATAGAAACAGACATTTTTTTCCTTCAAAATCCACAAAATCTGAATTAAAAAAAATAAATAATGTTTTATAAGAAATATTAAATGTTCAACGTTAAAAACCTGCCTCCTTCTTTATCATCTAAAAAAATATTAATTACAATCAAAACAAAGATAAAAGATGGAACCAAATTTAATTTCATATTTTGTTATACAATTATAACACTTTAGTCTCAAACATTATTGCATAAAACTTTGAGTATTTCAAGAAAATTTTTATCCTTATATCTCTAAATTTTATATTTAGCAATGTTTATATTATTAAGAAAACAAATCCGCCATCACAAAATGTAACCTTTTAATTTACTTAACATTTTTTTTAGATTATAAGTTTTAAGAATAGAAAGTATGATGGAGAAAGAGGTGGAAAGCCAATAATGAATAAAATCTCATGTCTTGACAACTCTTTATGAACGTACAAATCTCTTTGATGACAGTCTTCTTTTACAAGCATCTCTCCTTTTAATGACAGTAATTGGAAAGACCTTAAATGGAATAAAAAAAATGTGCATACATTACTTCAATTAATTTTTATGATATCACTGAACACATTCCAAAAAAAGACAAGACTATCATATCTGCAACAATACAAACAACCTTTTGATGTATTAAAACTAAACCAGTTATTTATTATAGCATAAAAGTGGGCATCATTAAGCCCAAAATCTACACACTGGTTTCAGAGGTTTGGAGACATCTTTTAGAAAAAAATAGAGCTAAAACAGTATTTAAAAAAAAAAAAAAAAAAAAAAAAAAAAAAAAAAAAAAAAAAAAAAAAAAAAAAAATAAAAAAAAAAAAAAAAAAAAAAAAAAAAAAAAAAAAAACAAACAATCTCAATTCAGATTTGTTTGGACTGATATAAGAGTTTGCATACAAAAATTGCAAAACAGCTAAACATGTTTATACATTACATAAGGGAAAATAGCATGACTAGATAAGATAAGATTTTTACTGATCCAAATAAATGGAAATTTGTTCTTTTTATTCATCGTACATATTTTTTTCAGTCAGTCCTTGAAATGTTTGTTTGAGTTTACTGTTGTTCCTTAAAATTAGCCTGTAGCGTGTAAGTGTGCGGTAAGAATAACTGTTAAGTTCTTAAGTGAGAACAGAGTCTTGGTAAGTTCTTAAGTGAGAACAGAGTCTTGGATTTTTGTTTTAACCGAGTTCTCGGTTTTCCTCTCAAAGTTCAGGGACACTAATTTTGTCTTTGGCCGATTTGTCTTTGAATGGTTGTTTTGATCTTGCCATTTATTTACAAGATGGCGTAGCAATTATTTCCAATATGGCGGATATCGATTTGTCTTGGTTTATGGCAACGAAGTCCAAAAAATCCACGCAACCGCTGTTTTTCGGGACAAAAAACACAAGGTTATAAGAGGAAGCAGATAAAACACATTCAACATGTCTTGATTCCAAAGTGAACTTTGTATAAACCTCTAAAACTAATACAAAAGCTAAAAAATATGCACAGATGAAATCGAGTCGCCTGCAGAGCGGCGCCCCGGACGCAGTTGGGGGCTTGACAAGAGAATTTAAGCATTTAAATGGACTTACAAGGAAAAAAAAAGAAAAATGTGTGTCATTTTAACACACATTCAATCTACAATGTGTAAGAAAACTTAACTCATTTTACAAGAGGTGTAATATAGATCTAACGGTCAGTGTATAATAAATGCTTTTGATAACTTTTAACTAGTCATTTTAAATATTTTGTGAAGTTACACATTGAGAGAGACTGAATTATGCCAACAAAGCTTTTAAATTTATAGTACCTGAATTCATTCATATCTAAGTAAAAAAAAAAAGTCTTGTTTCTGATCCTTACCACACAAGGGCACATAATTATTAAATTTCAGTAGGGACTTTAAAATATGACAGATGACATAAATGCAATTTGAAAAAAATATGTTAGCATTGTGAAAACAATGATTAAAAAAACATAGTGCATTAAATATCATGTTTTATGGCTAGGCTTCAACTAAAGATCCACTTGAAAGATGAATAAAGCTGATTGGTTCCTCTGTTAGGATAGACTCTGACTGAGCTTCTGTTTCATTAATTGGGTGACTAGAGACTTGTTCAGCTGGTTCACCTTCTCCTTCCATTTGTTGGTAACCATTGGGACATTTTGACTCCACAAACTGTAAAACACTGTAGAAGAAATATCAGAGTTATTGTAGAGGTTTAGCTAGGTTTTTAACTGCTTAAAAAAATTTAAATTCAATGTCATCTCCAATCATCCCAAATCTTTATTTATTTTTATTATAAATAATATATTTAGATCTAAACATTATCATATGGGAAGTTTGGAAAAAAAAATGAATTATAATACAACAAATAGTTATCAATTTTACAGCTACTTCAGATTCAGTTGAGGAAAAATATACAATCCAAAAATATAATGTAATGCAAAATAGTAATAATAATTGAATATATCTATAAAAAATGTAAAAATCATTCAGCATAGGTGTCAATATAAATACAAAATTAAACGACTGATGGCAAGGTCTGACTCACTGTGGCTGAAATTATAAAGTAAATGAAGCACAATATACTTACATCAGAAGTATGACTGGTATTGTCAAAAATATCATGGATACGATGAAGACAAATCCACTGTACAAGGACATTGTGGATGCATATATGACTGAAAACACGAACGGGGCTAGGAAATAGGTGATGCTCTCTCCACAGTGCATCATAGCGAACACAGTTCCTAAAAATAATAATGTTTTAAAAATTGAACTATAGAAGTTGTCATTTCACTATTACTAACTAGTAAAAAGACACTGTTTTACAAAATTTTGTTTATCTAATGTTACTATACAGCTGCAAAAATCAGATTAGAATTGTCCATTGTGTTGAAATAGTTTCAAATAATAATTTTTATTATTATTTTTTTTACAATGAGCTTTTCAAAAAAATATGTCTTATAAAAATCTTCTTCAAGACATTAAGAATCATGCTACTTTATAAACAATGTAGAAAGAAGTTGTCCTTAAAATCCATCTTGGTATCCTATAATTAAATTATTCATTTTACTTTGAGAGGTACTTACCTTGTTCCGAGGGACTAACATTTCTTGCAACTTTAGCTCGCAGAATTGGGAATGGAAACAATTCAAAGGCAAGAAGCAAAATAGCTGACAAAAATGAAGAGATTTATATTGACCATGTTTTCATTCAAAATGTAATAAATATTACTGCTACAATTTATTCCTAATGTTTATAATTAAAAGAGGAAATTATTTAAATTTAGTTTTAAAAAAATAATTAAAATGCAATAATAATAAAAAAATGTTTTAACAAAAGCACATATACATTATACTGATTATAAGAATTCCATTACCAAAATAGAGTATAGTTTCATTCCTGATGACAGCAATCCACAAAGTTCCCAGAGCCTTAGATGCAAAGCCTAAGTATACTATTTTTGTGTCTGAAAGGAATTTCTGAAATATTGGCACACAAAGCACAGTTGCAAGTGCTGCAACAGCCATTATAACCGCCAGGAATAGACCAATCTTTGCCCATGGCCCACCTCCAGTAATTGCATTATCATCAGTAAATAGATATTTTTGTTGGCTCAAATATAGAACAAGAGTGTTTATTTGTCCAATGTGGACAAAAACATATGCTTGAAACACAAGAATGGCAAGCCATATCTTTGCCAAGGTTGAATTCCCAAAACATTTCATGTACTTCATGAGTGGTCCGAATGTGTCAGTGCAGCAATTTGTTGGTTTCTGCTGTCTTCGCACCGCCACAAATCTTTGGGTGTCCTGCTGGACTGTTTGAGTTTCTTGAACGAGAAAAAAAGATATCAATAGTGATATCATCCCACAAATCAAAGTAAACCAGAAAGGCTTCAGAAAGCCAGCATCCTTGACCCAAAATCCAACCATTATGTTGCCGACTGCATACGCTCCGCCATTTAAAAATTCCTGGACTGCGAGTCGATTGAGTCTGTGCTCTGGTTTGACATAATTTATGGCATAAAAAGAAGATCCAGCCAAAAATGCTGTCATACTTCCACTCAGGCCTCTGAGGGCGGCAGCCAAAAACAACCCATCAATGTTCCACTGGGTGTACAGAATGAGAATGTAAATCAAAGAATGTACACAGCTTCCTAGAGCGGGCAACCACAGCAATATTTTGTGTCTCCCAGTTTTGTCACTTACTGCCCCAAGTATAATTACAGTCACAATGGCTGGTAAACCTTCAGCAATCTGTAATCCAAGAACCACTAGAACACTTTCATGGTGAGCTTTATCTACTGCAGGGTCAGATATGCTTGTGTTTTCTTTCTTGATTCCAAATCCTGGAAACGGAACTCCGTGCTGGCTATAAATCTGGGATTCAACAAACTCTTGAAAGAGCGGCAGTGACATGTGACGAGCCAGGAAGAAGAAAAACAAAGCAATCTCAACAAAATAACACTGGATTGCATCTATGCATTTATAAATTTTGGAGCATACTGCTGACTGAAGCTTCTGGTGAGCTGGCGAAGACATTCTTGAAAAAAAAGAAAATCTGTACTAGAAATGTAAAGGAAACTTTGCTTGACGTAGGCTTAAAACTTAATATGGTTCATCAGAATTGTCTTTGATTTTTTTTACAAAAATGTTTCAAAACATTAGGTTTGATGATTATTATTAACATCACTTGATCCAACATTTTAAGAGTATCTGACAAATAATGTAATTGTTGTATCTTTCATTTTAATCACAGATGTCTTTCTGTACACCTTTCTGAAAAAGATGTTAAAATAGTAGAATTTGAATTAAAATAAATTCCCAAAATTTTGCAAAAATTAAAAGTGAAATTAAAATTAGAGACCGACCGAATTTCGGCTTCGGCTCCAAAAGTGGCCATTTCATCACTTTCGGCCAAGTTTCGGTCGAAACTGAAAGTTAACTTTCGGCTTAGTTTTGGTTTCGGTCGAAACTGAAAGTTAACTTTCGGCTTAATTTTGGTTTCAGCTGAAAGAAAAAAGTAAACTTTGGCGGTTTTTTTTCAGTTTCGGCCGAAATTGACTTTGACTTTTGGCCATACGGCCGAAAGTGACTGAGGTTTTCGGTCATCTAATACTCAGCGAAACAATATTTAAGAACAAACTAAGCGACATTTAAGAACAAACTAAGCGAAATTTAAGAACAAACTAAACGATCTTTAAGAACAAATAAAGCGATCATAAACAAAAAACTGAACGATCTTTATGAAAAAATTAAGCGATCTTTAAGAACAAACTAAACGATCTTTAACAACAAGATGTTATATTGGATGTTTATTTATTAATATTATTATAATTTATCTAATTTTTTTATAAAAAGAATGTAAATATTTATACTCCCCCCCATCATTTTCAATGTATGCTAAATGTATGCGAGAATGAATTTCAAATTATCTAAATATTTCATATTCGGTTTTGGCTTCGGTTTCTGCCAAAAGTATCTTAAACTTTCGGCCTTTTTTTGGTTTCGGCCGAAAGTCATTTTAAACTTTCGGCCTATTTTCGGCTTCGGCCGAAATCAGAAAATCACTTTCAGTCGGTCTCTCATTTATATATTCTTTATTGGACCGAAATTGATGGAAAAAAAAAAGTTATTATTTCTATCACTTAGAGTATGTTGGTACCTGTAACATAAAATGATAGGACATTCCAAATTTAAAGCATTCCTTATTGAAAGTGTTTCTTTAATGTTTATAAAATATAGGGTGCATGATTATCATTTGTATAAATATAATTAAAGGTAATAAATAACATTATTTAAAAAAAAAATACCTTAAATATGGACAAGAGATTAACATGGGCAATAAATTCAGCTACAGTCAAAACCTTACTGGTGGTATCAAAATAAATTGGTTCAATACCAGTATAATGTTAAATTAATATTATCATTTTTTAAAGTGACAAATACTCCATTGTCATTTTGTAATGGTTTGCATGATTTAGTTGTTAAATTTACATAATTTCCCTCAATTTGATTCCCCTTGTTGACAAAACAAACTCCCACTACCATCCCCATATATAAAAAAAAAAAAAAAAAAAAAAAAGCCAATAGCTAACAACTGTTAATGACCCCTTTTAATACTTCTAGCAACTACCACACAAATAATAATAAACCCATATAGAAAGACCCAGGGCCATTTATTTTTTTATAAGAGTGTATGAGTACAAGTATTAGTTTTAAGCTTGTCTAAGCTTTCTAATAAGCAAACTGCAAATATATCTAAGGCAGAGGTGCCCAAACCTTGCACCTCTGTGCCCGAGGGGGGTTACTGCTTTCTCACAGGGGGGGCCCTGACATGCAAACAATTTTTTACCATGTAATTTTATGCCTCATCTAGCAGATATAATAATTAAAGGACTGCATTCAAGCTTAGTAAATGAAATAACAAAACGAGGTATGTGGAAGCTTGAATTAGAGAACAGGACAAAAAGATCATAACGTTTCGGCATAGAGCCTTCTTCAGCACACAGGACGAATGAAGATATCACAAAGAACAGAGCAAAGTAAACCACTCAAGAAATATCCTTTGTTGTCGCATTGTATTGATATTTGAAGCTTTAGGAATGCTTAAGAAATCCTGGCATAAAATTAAAAAGCAGATTTGGGCTCACTCATCCACCCGTTCACTCAGCTAAGCATACGCAGTCAACCATGATAATTTTAAGTGACAGTGTCAACCCGCCTCTGTCGCCCAGTCTTTCACCAGGCAAACACAGCAAAAGAAATCTTAAAATTTCTCGTGAGTAAACAAAAAGATAATGCTCCATCCACATACAAGATGGAAATATGAGTATAGGGAAAGCCTATAAAAATTGTAGATTATTCTTTTGAGAAAAAAAAAAAGAGGAAATTTCAGCCTTTGTGATTGCTTCTTGCTTGCTTAAAACTTGTACGATCATAATCAGAACAAATTTAACACTGATGAGAATGTCACAACAAGATAAAGATGAAAATAGGCTCGTTCCTTGTGGTCATATGAAATAGAGTCTTGGAGAAAGAATCCTAGAAACATCATATTGATATTTGAAGCTGTAGGAATGTTTCAATTTTTCTAGCTCCACAAGTTTAATTTTAAAAGTGTGATCATAAAAAATTGCTTTTGGCCATAAACATTGTAGAGATTTAGAATATTTGTCTGTAAGTTTTATTTAATTGAGATGGCAACCCTGCTATATATTTATTTTAAATATGACACAGGGCCTAGTGTAATACAATGGAACTTCTCATAACGAGTTTATTTCGTTTCAGACTCTTACTCGTTAAGCGAAACACTCGTTAAACGAAACAATTTTTCCCATACAAATCAATGATTTGTAAAATGCGATAATGCGTTCCTTGCTGAAAAAATAATAATTTTTCAAAAAATTTTATTAACATTTATTCAAATAAAATTATTTATGAATTGTTAAGGAGTGTAACAACTTGGAATACAATTTAGATTGGAAACAAAAAACGTAAATAAAAATATGAATTTATGACAAATAATTAATCCTTTTTAACTAGAAAACTGTGTAAAGACATTTGTTTTTGCCGACGCTTCAAAATTTGACGAAAATGTGTCACAGCATTATCATTGAATAAATTTGTAGCAATAGCCACCTCCTTATTAGGGTGATGCTTCTCAATGTATGATGCAACCGTTTCCCATGCTTTCAGGATTTCTCTTATTGTGCTAGAAGATTGTTACTCTGCTACTTCCTCCTCCATTAATGAGCTCTCCTCCATAATTTCTTGCTGTGAAACATGATGCAACTCCATAAGCTCTTCGGTGGTCAACTCTTGACTGTGCTCTTTCACAAGCTCTTCAATATCGTTGTTGGCCAATGACACAATCTCGTTAACAGTAGACTCCACAGGTACTGTTTCACAATCACATTCAACAACACTCTCTGGCCAAAGTTTTTTCCAAGAAGAAGTGAAGGAAAAAGGGACTTCCTCTTTCTGCGTAACTCGTTATGTGAAATGTTGCTTGTTAAGGGAGCAACTTCTTCACTTTTTTGCTCGTGATGCGAATTACTCGTTATGAGAGGTTCCAGTGTAATTAAATTAAGGTCCCTACAGACTACTGCCAAAATCAATAGTTGTCCAAAAATCTAAAATATAGCCTTGTCATACTAAATTTAATATTAATTTTGGATAGGCTTACAGCTTAATACTCATATAATAATCTAAAAATAGTATAGAATACCAACTATACCACACTCAATCAATAGTAGGCCCAAAAATATTAAAACTAGGGCTTTATATTAGCAAGAGAAAGTAGGCCTAAATAAAATACTTAATAAGTCTACTATGTCTTCATTGCACTTTAGCCCTAGTGCCCTAGTACTAAAAAGTTACTAGTCTAATATTTAGTTATAGCAGTACTCAGAAGACAGCTGAGACCGACAGCTTTGTAGGTATTTGTGTGAAATTTTCAAAATATTTCTAAAAATGAATAGAATGTGTCTTTGATATTTCTCAATATAAAATTGTCATATTTACACAATTTGTTGATAATATTATAAGAAATGAAAGTAGAAAATATGCTTAAGAATTGCATTTTCTAATCAAAATTAAATAATTTAACACCATGATCCCTTTTTTCCCCCTATATATATATTCAATAAACTGCACAGTTTTTTTTAGCGAAAAATAATCATAACTTATTAAATATTTAAGGATACAAAGATTAAATTTGGAGTGGTATTGCTACTTATCATTAAAAAAATCTATCAATTATTTGTATTTATTAATGAGAAAAACATCCATATTATCAGTGATTTCTCAAACGTTAACACCCAAGGAGTACGACCTACAATAGATTTAAAGCTTATAGCCTTACTGCCTTACTTAAGTTATTATACATTTATCATTATTTTTGTTAGCTCTGCCATGGCCGGTCCCAAGCCCAGTTTAAAAGGAGGAGGGATGGGATGAGGCCAGCTACCTCACCCAAAAAAAACTAACTGTTTCAGAAACGACAACAGGAATAAAAAAACAAAACAATTTCAGCCCTGATAAGAGAGGGCTCTTTTTCCCCAAGAATGAAGCCTTGCAGCCAAAGCCAGATTATACTGGAAGCCTCAAAGCAGAGGACCCTCCTTTCAAAGGCAATAAACATAGGCTCGTGGCATGTTAGAGCCATGTATAAAACAGGGAATCAGCACAAGTGGTGGCAGAAATGAGAACAAACAAACTCATAAATCTTGGCATCTATGAAACAAGATTGACACAAGCTGGACAGTTAACTTTGGCCTCAGGAGAAATACTAATATACTCAGGGCATGAGGAAGAAAATGTTCTACACACACAAGGAGTTTCTTGATGAGAAGGATGGCTCAAGAGGCATTGATAGGATGGGAATCCCATGGTCCAAGAATTATTACAGCAACTTTCCAAACCAAGAAGAAGAATATAAATATATATGTAATACAGTGCTATGCACCCACTAATTATAGTAAGGAAGACGAAAAAGAAGCTTTCTACAAGCAATACTGGAAAAATTTCCAGGTATAAATCTAAA